CCGCTATGTTACAAGAAGAGAGTGAACAAAGTGACATGGAGACTAAGAGCACATAAAAGAAGAAGTAGAAAGCAAACATAGGATGAGCATCATGGAATAGTCCTTGAGTCAAGTTCAGTAACTTTAAAATTGTAATTCCTATGGCTCTTTCTGTTCAAGTAGTGGGCTATTTAAATAAGTCAAAGTAGCACAAACTAGGGCATTACTATGAATTCATTTTTTGTGTATTTCCTGAAACCTAGAGAAATTTGTAGGATATAAACTGAGTTGTGTTCCAGAAACTCATTTTCTAAGTTCCAGTCTTGTAAACTCTACCACGTTCTAGAAAAGTACAGTCCAAGAGGCAATAAACCTAATCATAACTATAATAAGACTTACTTAGTACCTTCTAGGAATGAGATAAAGAAAATACAAGTGAAGATTACTTCCTTATTAAATGTAAGAATGACCTTAACCTAGACTAAAATACATTTTTTCCTAATAATTTTCGAGATTAAGATAGATTTTCTGTGGTAGTAAAAGGAACACAGCTGCTAAATTTATGACACTAGAACAAGGAAGATCACAGGAAAGAGATAACCTGCCAACTTTGATTCCTTTTGTGAAATTATTACTCATGTAATGATGGTAATGGTATTTATCATATGTAAAATGAAATCACAATGAGCTTTTAAAATATTTTTAAGGTATAAAAGAGTATTTTTTAAAATTGTATTTTATTTGTAAAAATTTTTATACTTTTGTCCCTAGGGTTATTAGATTTTACATGTGTCCGTTCTGGGAGAAATACAGATTTCTGAGTCAAGCAATCACCATGGTAATTTATCACCACCAGACTAGCCCTGCAGAGATAATTAGGGGAGTTCTAAAGGTGGATGTGAAAGAATAATATACACTAAAAAAAAAAAAAAAGCACAGAGAAGTACACAGTCAAGAACGCAACGAAGCTAGCTAACAAAACTATGACAGGAACAAAATCTCACATATTATTGTTAACTTTCAACATAAATGGCCTAAATCCTTCACTTAAAATACACAGAATGATAAATTGGAATACAAAAATAAGAATCATCCATCTGATGTCTTCAAGAGACCCATCTCACAAGTAATGACACTCACGGATTCAAAGTAAAGGGATAGAGAAAGATTAATCACGCAAATGAAAAACAAAAAAGAGCAGGGGTTTCTATTCTCATATCAGATAAAACAGATCTTAAGCCAAAAACAGAAAAAAGGATAAAATATGTTATTGTGTAATGAAACAGAGATCAATTCAACAAGAATAATTAACTATCCTAAATAAATATGCACCCAACATTAATTGGAACACCAAGATTTATCAAGAAACTACTGCTAGACCTAAGAAAAGATGTAGAGAGCCCCTCAATAATACTAGGGACTTCAACGCCGCACTGACAGTCATAGACAGATTATCAAGGCAGAAATCTAAATAAATAAATTCTGGACCTAAATTGACATTTGACCAGCTGAATCTAACAGACATCAGTAGAAGACCCCAACAACCACAAAATATATATTTTTCTCATCTTCACATGTAACATACTCTAAGAGTGATCACATACACAGTCATAAAGTAAGGGTCAACAAATTACAAAAACTTCAAGTAACACCAAGCATTTTCTTGGATCACAGAATAAAAATAAAAATTAATAGCAAGAAGAACTCTAAAATGCTATCACAGGCACGCATGTGTGCGCGCACACACACACACACACACACACACACACACACGCGGAAACTAAACAAATTACTCCTAAATGACTTTCGCTTGAGTAAACAGTAAAATTAAGGCAAAGATCAAAGAATTTTTTAAACAAATGAAAATAGAGACACCATGAACAAAAACCTCTGGGGTTCAATCACAGCAGTTTAAAGAGGAAAGACTATAGTGCTAAATGCCTACATCAAAAACACAGAAATATCTCAAACTAACAACCTAATATTGCACCTAGAGCAATTAATAAAACAGGAAAAAAACTATATACTCAAATATAGCCGGAGAACAGAATTAACTAAAATAAGAACAGGGCTGAACAAAATTAAGACTCAAAAATCCATACAAAGGATCAACAAAATGAAAGTTAGTTCTTTGAAAGTTTAAACAAAATTGATAGACTGCTATCAAGATTAACAAAAAAGAGAAGCTCCAAATAAGCACAATCAGAAATGCCAAAGATGACGTTAGATCCAGTCCCTCAGAGATACAAAAGATTATCAGAGTCTATTATGAACATTTCTATGTGCATAACTAGAAAACCTAGAAGAAACGGATACATCCCTGAAAACACAAAGCCTCCCAAGATTGAATCAGGAAGAACTTGAAACACTGAATAGACCAACAATGAGTTACAGAATTGAATAAGTAATAGAAGCCCAGGACTAGATAAATTAATAGCTGAATTCTTCCAGACATACAAAGAGGAACTCATTCCAATCCTAATGAAATTATTACAAAAAATCAAGGATGAGGGATTCTTCTCTAACTTACTCTACAAAACCTGTATCATCCTGATACCAAAATATGGCAAACACACACACACACACACACACACACACACACACACACACACACACACACACACCCCAGGCTATGTGATGAACATAGATGAAAAAGTCCTCAACTCAGTACTTGCAAACCACATCTAGCAGCATGTCAAAAATAATACTTTACCAAGTTGACTTTATTCCTGGTATGCAAGGATTGTTCGATATATGCAAATCAATTAATGTAATTCACCACATAAACAAAGCTAAAAATAAAAAAAACGTAAGATTATCTTAACAGATACAGGAAAAGCATTTGATAAAATCCAACATGCCTTCATAATTAAAACCCTCAGTAGACTAGGCATTCAAAGAACATACCTAAAACAATAAAAACCATCTATTGACAAACCCAGTTTATATCATATTGAATAGGAAAAGTTGGAAGAATTTCCCATAAGAACCAGAACAAAACAAGAACATCCACTTTCAACACTCTTATTCAACTTAACATAGGAAGCCCTAGCCGGAACAATCAGGCATGAGCAAGAAATAAAAGGCATCCAAATAGGAAAAGAGGAAGTTAAATTTAATTTCTTCACTGATGTTAGTATACATAGAAAACCCTAATGATTCTGACCAAAGACTCCCAGAGTTTATTAACAATTTCAGTAAAGTTTTAACATAGGAAATCAATATAGAAAAAGCAGCAGTATTTACATACAATGTAGTGTTCTAACTGATAACCAAATCAAGAACACAATCCCATTTACAAGAGCCACAGAGAAAAAAAAAAAAAAAGAAATACTTAGGAATACCTTTAACCAAGGAATACCTTTTACCAAGGATCTCTTTAAGAAGAACTAAAAAACATTGCTGAATGAAATCATAGATGACACAAACAAATGGAAAAGTATTACATGCTTTTCAAGAATCAACATCATTAAAATGTATATACTGCCCAAAGCCATCTACAGATTCAGTGCAGTTCCTATCAAAGTGCCAAAGTCATTTTTACACAAAATTGGAAAATCAATTCTAAAATACATATTTAACTAAAAAAGAGCCAGAATAGCCAAAGCAATCTTAAGCTAAAAGAACAAAGGCAGAGGCAACATATACTTGATTTTCAACTATACTACAAGGCTACAACAACCAAAACAGTATGATATGGGTACAAAAATAGACACATAGACCAATGGAACACAAAAGAGAATCCAGAAATGAAGTCCCATATCTATAACCAACTGATCTTTAACAAAATTGGTAGAAATACAATGGGGAAAGGACACCCTAGTTAATTAATGGCGCTGGGAAAACTGGCTAATCATATTCAGAAAATGAAATTAGAATCCTATATAATGAAATTAGATTTGTATTAAAAAAAAAAAAAAACTCAAGATAAAGACTTCAATGTAGAACTTTAAACTACAAGAAACCTAAAATTAGACCTAGGAAATTATTTTGAACATTGGCCTAGGCAAGGAATTTACAACTAAGTGCTAAAACACAAATGCAACAAAAACAAAAGCTGACAATTGAGGCCAAATTAAACTAAAGAGCTTCTGCCCAGCACTTGCATTTTCTATTGCAAATATGAAGTAGCAAAGATACGGAATCAACATAGGTTTCCAATAATAGTGGACTGGATAAAGAAAATGTGACGCATATATACCATGGAATACTATGCAGCCAGAAGAAAGAATGAAATCCTTTCCTTTGCAGCAACATGGATGTGCCTGGATGTCATTATCCTAAGTGAATTAAGATGAAAGCAGAAAACCGAATACCACACGTTCTCACTTATAAGTGGGAGTTAAACTTTGGGTACACAGGAACAAAAGGATGTAAATAACAGACACTAGGGAAGGAAGAGTTGCCAAAACAGGGAAGGAAGGAGGGCAAGGTTTGAAAAGTTACTTATTGGGTACTATGTTTACCATTCAAATCATAAGTCCAATAGAAGCTGAAACCTCAGCATCATGCAATATATCCATGTAACAAACATAGACAAACGTACACACATGTATGCTAAATCTAAAGGATACATGTGTGTACGTTTATTGGGTACTATGTTTACTATTCAAATGATAAGTTCAGTAGAAGCCGAAACCTCAGCATCGTGCAATATATCCATGTGTACCAACATACACAAACATACACACATGTATGCTTAATCTAAAATAAAAATTAAATAACCAAATAAAATTATTTCCATGAATAAAATGGTAGGTATAATTATGTGGAAACTGCTTAACTATTTATTATATGGTGAATAATTTAATAATATGTAATAAACATATGAATGAAAAATAACTATTTCAATAATTTTTAATTCATTCCTAGTAACTGTGTATACAATAATATATATATATATATAATTAATAAAAACAGAAACAACTTGATATGGAAATAATTTCCACCTAGAAGGAGGATCAACATATTTAAGCAACCTCACTATTCAAGTAAAAATCATTTATTAAACAGATCAAAGTCATTTTCTGCTCTTTTCTTTATGGGTCTTAAGAACACACATGTCACAGGTAATATAACATCACTTCCCCAACTCACTACCTTGGCCTTCATTTAACATCTTTCAGTAGGGCAGAAACTGTTGATAAAGTGAGTTTTCTTTTATAGACAAGAGAGGAAGATGAATGGATACTTTGTGTGGTCTGGGCCTTAGAAACAGACTAAGATCTGTTTTATATTGCTTATTGCTATGTTTAGCATGCCACTCAACCCATTGGGATGTTGGATAGTCACTTGAGAACAATCGCTGGATTTGTTCTCGCAGGATGTTGCATACTGAGTTCAGAATAAGCCCTGCTCAACTGAAGCATAATCTAGGAGGAGGCACTGATTTGCAACTTTCAATACTGTCAATTGGTGAAAGAGGAGGTGAATGTCATGTGGGAAATTAGTGTCACTTCTACTATTTCTTCTTTTCTTTTAAAGCTTGTAAGTACCATGTTTTAGTTACTACTCTGCTATAAAATATGAATATCCAAATCTCTGTGGCTCAGTATAACAGTTTTTTTCTTTTTTTACTCATAGAAAATTCAAGTTCACCCTTAGTAACCCAGGCTGACAGAGACTCTTCCATTTTCTATTCACAACTTCCCCAATTGCCCAAGGAAGAGTGGAAGATTTTATAGGTGACTGTACACAAGTATAAGAACTTAGTTCCTAGTAACCGATTTACTCGTTGAATAAACATTTATGGCACCTAGCATATCAATCACTGGGCAAATGCTGGGACACGAGAAACATTTAATATATGTGACTGCTTCTTATCAATTATGTTCTAGCGAGTAACAGGAGTTAAGAACACCACTAATTATAGTATTGTAAATATAACTACAGTTCCAATAACACATACACACACATGCAGAAACATTTTGTCTGGTGGCTGAGGAAATGTTCATTGATTTAAGATAGTTCTTGATGAACGGGATTTTTCAATAACTATCAGAAGAAGAATGTCTAAGACTTAATCTTATAAAGTATTTTCTCATCTGCCTTGCATATCTGACACTTTCATCTCCTATGATCCCTGAATACAATATAGAACCTGACGTTTTTCTTTTCAAAGATCCTTAAAATATTTCCTACATTTAATCTGAATATCTTTCTCAGTAATTTTTCTTAGACAAGCAATTACAGCCACATTCTCTTAATATAACCATAAAAAGGTGAGCAACTGAAAATTTAATTTGGAGAACACATATGAAACATATTCAATTAATTCACGTTATTATGTGTTCAGCTTTCAGTGACAGTGAACAAATAATGATAAATGAGAAACTGAAAGAAAACAAACCAATAGGTGGTTTTTAAGAAACAATATTATTGGCTGGGCATGGTGACTCACACCTGTAATCCAGTAATTTGAAAGGTTGAGGTGAGTGGATCACGAGGTCAGAAGATCAAGAGCATCCTGTCCAACATGGTGAAACCTCATCTCTGCTAAAAACACAAAAATGATCTGGGCATGGCGGTGCATGGCTGTAGTCCCAGCTACTCAGGAGGCCGAGGGAGGAAAATTGCATGAATCTGGGAGGTGGAGGTTGCAGTGAACCAAGATTACAACACCGCACCACAGCCTGACCACAGAGTGAGACTCCAACCCCCAAAAAAACAAAAATAAACAAACAAAAAACAATATTATTGAAGTGCATGTGTTTTCTACTGAATGAAAGGAACACAGGCCTTTTCCTCACGTTGGTAGTTAGTAAGGTATATAAAAACAACTTTGTAAAGGGCGATATAGGTTAATGAATTATTGTGAAGAGGGAATAACATACTTTGTTCTAGTAACAATCAGCTAGGCATTAAAAGTTTAAAAAGATGAAGAAAAATTGAAGAGTCACTTGATGACAGTGTTTATTAAATTGCCTCTCCTGTATCTGGAAAGATTTACAGAAATGTCTTCAACAGAATCACTGTGTTGAAAGCCAAATGAAACCCATTATGAAATATAACTCTTCACTTGGTATACAGGTATAATCTCAGGTGTAATTCAGGCGAAGTGACAAATTAAATTTTAAGCTTCCATTTGTTATAATTTGATGACTGTGATTAAAGAACCATAAAAATTTTGTCTTTGACATTTCATTTTCCCTTCAAAAAAGCATTCTACTGCAATTTTCTTAGTTTTCCTTCCTCAACTGTGGTGTCACCTATCAATTCTAGATTTCTCTATTTTAAGTGTAACAAACCTACTATCAACTATTTCTGGAACACCACTTCATCTTAACAACAAGGATCCATAAATATTTTAGAAATTCAAAATGTTATATATAAGATTTTATATAATACCCATAATAAATTTCTAAGTAGCAGTTATTATTATGCCCATAACTTTAAAATATATTACCTGAAGCAAATTATTCCACATTTTATATAGGAAGTGTTCATTTATTTTTTATCTCTTTTAGCACACTGTACTGTGTGTTAATAAAATAAACTGTGTTCTTGGATAGTCACTTATCTTTGGTTTCATATTTTTTACTGGATGAATATTCCAATGCTATACATAGTGAAATATAACAGTGAAACAATCTGATGATGCAGTCAGTGAATCCAGGTTTTAAAAATGGGATCCATTTTCTAAAATTGAGTATATACATACTTCATGAGCTGTCTTATCATGCATCCTAAACCAAACAATCTCTTCCCTTTGCCTCTCTTATAGTGCCTTATTATTATTTTATTTGCGGCAGCAAGTAGCACATTGTTCAGAACCTAGTAGGTATTCGGTCATTGTCTACGGAATACATGAACACATTCTAAACTGGACAGTCATCATTTTTGGAGTTTTGAAACAAACACTTCCTGAATTGCAACTATTTTCTTAGTAGCCCTAGGAATTCACTCAGGGTGGATATGGGTAAGCTAGGAGTGAAGCTATAAACATGTAGGTCCATCTCCCAAAACTTCTTTAGCGTATCTTCACTGTTGTTTGTTTGCTTGCTTGTTTTAAAAAGAGATCTAGATACTGTAAAATAAGAATTAAATAAGAACTGTATAAATATGATGTTCCACCATAATTCTAACTTACATGGTACGAAATGATAAAATATTACACTCTAGCTCTTTGTGAAAAATCATGGATACTGTAAAGGGTGTAGATTTTCTCTCTCCCTTCCTCCTAAGTTTTATTTACTCAGCAAAGAGTTACCTGGTGACTACTTAATAATAGACATTGTTTTAGATACTTGGGCTTTAACAATGAAAAGAACAGGACTTGAATTAATGAAAAGTTCATTTTAATCAGTTGTACGTTAAAACAGGAAACAAAAATAAACATATAACATGTCAGGTGGCAATGACTGCTCTGGGAAAAATGAAGGAGAATAAGAGGTTCTAAATTATTATATATGATCAGTGTTCCCAATATGTTACGGAAAGAAGTAAGTTTATAATGATTATCAGAGAATTCCACAAAAATCACTAAATTTTTCCAGAAAGCCAGGCATCGATAAGGGAATAAACAAACAGATAATCTATTTTAATTTGATCTTCTTTTACAAGTGCATCTATGATCTGCCATGGTATATAATATAAACCTAAAAAACTAAAAATTGTTTATATTTCTTTCATGTTAGCATGAATTTTTTTTTTTTTTTTTTGAGACAGTCTCACCTCTGCCACCTAGGCTGGAGTGCAATGACATGATCTCGGCTCACTGCAACCTTCAACTCCCAGGCTCAAGAAATTCTCCTGTTCCCGCCTCCAGACTAGCTGGGACTAAGGCAGGCACCACCATGCTCAGCTAATTTTTGTATTTTATTAGAGGCAGGGTTTCACCACATTGGCTGGGTTGGTTTCAAACTCCTGACCTCATGTGATCCGCCCAACTTGACCTCCCAAACTGCTGGAATTACAGGTGTGAGCCACCATGCCTGGCCAATGTTCTTAAATATTAGACACCTATCAGATTCCCTTCTCCCCACTACAAACATTGTATGCTTTTCCATAGGCACAAAATTTTGTTTTCATTCAGGTTGGAATTAACAAGTATTATTTAGCAGTTCCTTCCATTTACCTATTTACCCAATAGAGGAATGATATAGGACACAAATGAATAAAGTGTAATAATTCTTATACTCGCTATTTGCCCTTATATCATGTAAGAGTTCAACTGTATACCATGTTTATATTCCCAAAACCTAACTGGAAGGGAAAAACTCAGAAAAATAGAATAAAAATTATATATATTATACATCTTCATTTTAGAATAATCTAAGGGTTCAGATAAGTATAAATAAAATGCTTTTGTAAGTGTCCATCACATCACCTCTTTGTCATCTTTACAGTCAAATTATGCCATTCTTATTTCCATATAAGAAAGAAAACTTGCTACTGTACCTCCTACCCAGTAACATACATATCATATATATGCTATACATTTGCTATTGGTTAGAAGCAACACTCATAAAATCACACTTAATAATGTAGTACAATTAGGCACAAATTCACTTAGTATTTTTAAATTTTATATATTCATATTTATATGAATCATTTAAAATTATGTCTATTGGTGCTAACGGCATTAAAGCCATAAGAGGTACTAAGGATATAATTTTAATTTTGTATACAGCTATGCACAGATATTTTTAGTTCACTCAGATTTAATCTGGTAGTTTATTATTTGCTTAATTGTACAGCTATCAAATCATTCAGGGCTCCCACTGTTTCAACAACGAGAGTGGAAAATATTTTTTCATCCCTGTTAATATATGCAGCTATTTGTAGTCTAAATTATTACTCTGGCAATTGATGATGAAGTTAAAATTATTTCTGTCAGACTTGGTAATTTGATGCCAGTGAATAATCCTGGAGTAATAGAAAGGTTTGAGGAAAAGGGGACAGTTTTTGTTAATGAGTATTCAAAAGATGTTAAGTAAACTTTCTATGGAATGCTACAGACAGTGGAATACAACACTGAAACAATTTGATAATGTAGTAAATGAATCCAGTTTTTAAAAATGGGATCCATTTTCTAAGACTGAGGATACAGATATTTCATGAGATGTTTTATCATGCATCCTAAACCCAACCAACTCCTTGACTGTCTTATCTCTGCATTCCAGGAAAGCAATGATCAGTCTGTTTATATGCCACTTATAAAATCATATTCAATAATGTCGTATACTTAGGCACAAATTCACTATTTTTAAATTTTATAAAATGTTAACAAAAAGTGTTCTTGAAAAATATTTGAGAATATACTCCAAAAACATAAAAAAATTGTAATACATGAGAGACAATATCTTCCTAGTGAACTGATTATCAGAGCCTATTGTTACATGTTCTGATTATGTTACATAATATTCTGATGAGCATAACATATTAAATGAGTGAATTTAGCAAAATGTTCAGAGGTCAAGAAAATTATTTTATACTCACTATGTTTTCGGACCCAAAGGTAAGACAGAATCCAATAAGAAGAGACAGCCAGATAATGCTGTTGTTTGTAAACTTAAACAGAAGCTTGCATGTAATTCGTAGTCAATGAAAAATAAAGGCAGAAGTTATACTTTATTTAGAATTTAATGACAGTGAAAATTATACATAAGGAGGAAGACTGCTGACTATGCAAAAGCTGGAATCATATAGGAAATATAAACACACAAAATAAGTATAAATTATAATGTAATAAAATAAATCAAATAGAAATAAAGGAAGTAGTATGGTAAAAAATAAAGGTAATTCTTTTAAAACCATAGTTAAATTAACAAATTTCCAGACAGATTGATTTACCAAGTAAAGAGAAAAAGGCCATAACGAGCACAAGAAAACACTATTAACTTACTTTTGAATATATAAAATGAAGACACTTAAAAAAAAACTTAACAAAAATGACTTAACTAGTTTTAAAAGAAAACAAAATCATCAATCATTTGTCCTTCCAAAAGCATAGACTCCAAAAATGTAGTCGCAGATGAGTGAACATAAAGCACACTTTAAGCAACAACTCCCAATTATAACTGCTTGCAATGTAGAGGATACCAGCCACACTCCTGAACCAGAGCTTGGCAACGGCTAGTCCTTCTGGAACACCCTTTTATCTCCTTCTCTAAGCAAAGACATGGAATCAACCTAAAATGCCCATCAGTGGTCTGCCAGATATAGAAAATGTGGTATATATACACCATAGAATACTATGCAGCCATAAGAAAGAGCATGATCTTGTTCTTTGCAGGGATGTGGATATAGTTGAAGGCCATTATCCTTAGCAAACTAACACATGAACAGCAAACCAAACACTGCATATTCTCACTTACAGGTGGGAGATAAATGATGAGAACACATGGACACATAGAGTGGGGAACAACACACACTGGGGCTTTTTGGAGGGTGGAGAGCTGGAGAAGGGAGAAGACTGAAAAAAAAAAAAAAAAACCAATGGGTAGTGGGCTTAATACCAAGGTGATGAAATAATCTGTACAATAAACCACCGTGATACAAATTTACCTATGTAACAAACCTGCACTTGTACCCCTGAACTTAAAAATGAATGAAGCCTGTCATACCACCCATTTAGTCGACTCACATTTTCCCTACTATTCCCAAACCCCTTTGCCTAGCCAACATTTTCCACAGCACTTTTCTTCAACTGTGTTATAATATATATATTTTTACTATATATTTTACAAACTTTATTAGAATATGAGTTCCTCCAAAGTAAGGACTGTTGTTTGTTTTGGGCTTCCTGATGTCTTTCCATAGCCTAGAACAGGGTCTGGAACTATATAAGCAGCCAACACTATGCGACGAAGTTTTTTGGTGGGTATGAATACCTTTGATTGTAAACAAAACTCAGTTTAATTATGTGTGTGTGTGTGTGTGTGTGTGTGTGTAAAATTACCACACTGTTTATAACCCTAGAATGACTGATGTGTTCATATTATACAATGATTTACTTTATTTCATCATATTGACAGATAAAGGATTCTAATTCCTAAACTTTTCAATAATGCAGAAGCCTGCATAACATTTAAATTCATTCATGATAAAGATTCCTAGCAAATGAAGAATAAATTGAATTTTGATCAATTACTTTAAAGTCGTTATAAAAGATCTATAGTGAATACCATACTTAAGTATTAGAAGTATTATTTTTAAAACAAAGAACAAGACAAGCAATTGGCAACATGACTTCTTTTCATATTACATGATATTAAGGATCCAAGCCATAAAATAAAGGACATGTGGATCATAAGTAAAATGTAAAATGTTATTTACAGACAATGAAGTTGTCTGCATAAAGATTATAAGAAAAAGCTACAAACTATTACAGTCAAAAGGAGACATCAACAAGCATGGTGAAAACAAAACAAACATGTACCAGTTGTCAGTATTCCTGTGACTTTTCAACAACCAATTAGGATAAATAGATATACATTATCTTAACACTGAAAAACAACAAAAATATGGAAACGGTGCTTATTATATGCCAGATTCTGGTTGAAATGTTTTACAAGTTTAACTCATTTAATCTTTCAAGTGATCTTATGAGGTAGAAGCCACCGTTTTCTTAATAGATGCAGAAACTGAAGCACAGAGAGCAACTGACTTCCCTAAGGTAAAAGTTAAAAGGTGGCAGACGTAGAATTCATTCATAACAATCTAAAGAGTATTTCTTGAGATCCTGACGAAATGCTATGTCTCTGGACTCTTTCACCAACTCTATTAAATGTTCAAGAATTTTAAATTAAAAAAATTGAATTAGTACATGAATAGGAAATGTCAAAGTCATAAATATAGTAATATTTTCCACAGTTAATGTTTAACTGTGGTGTCATTACAAATTTTCAAAAAATTTGCAAGCAAATCAAAAATTATGTAGGGGAGAACACCCAGAACTAATTTGAAGAGGATAAAAGCACAAGAACCTCCCTTCTTGGCACAAAGACTTCTTATGACTAAAACATTTATACTGAAATGCCTTAACACTGGATCTAGCACTCAAACAGTCCAGGACACTACAAATGAATGAAAAATGAGCCCAGAAAACACAGCTCCATATGTGAAAATTTGTTTCATAACAGAAATGGCATTAACAAGTCAAAGGTTAAATTTTAAAAACCATAAAATATTTCAGACAACTGATTATGTGAAAAAAAGTAAAGCTGACTCATGACCCTACCCAGTACACAAAAATCAGTTCTAGGTGGACTTAAAAACATAATGCAAAAGCAAAACTTTAACACAGTTACCAAAAAATAAGTAATATCTTTATGGTATTTAAATAAAAAGATTTATTTAAAAAGACATAAAGAAAGCAAAACCCACAAAGAGAAAAGTTGATACTTTAGATGATGTTCAAATTTAAAACTCATGTGAAATAGCACCAAAAGCAATATGAAATGAAAGCTTCACAGAAGTACTAGAAAATTCTGCTATGTTTAGCTAGCAAAGAATTAGTATCCAGTCTAAATAGGAAAACAATACATCACTAAGAAAATGACACACTGCCCAATAATAAAATAGGAAAAATATGAATTAGCAATTCACAGAGCAAACCCAACTGAACACTAAATATTATGAGAATGTTGAACAAGTCAAACTACAAAAACAATAAAAATCAAATTGCCAATAGAATTATTTTATTACCATCATGTTGAAAACAATTAAAAATTCTGAATACCCTATAGTGGTGAAATGTAACTTCATGAGTATATAGCAATTAGGACAGCAAACTGACAGCATGTGAGATAGTTGAAGATATTCATATGACCCAAAATTCCACTATTCTACAAAACACTCATACATATATACAACAAAATCTATATAAGAAGGTATACAGCAACATTTTGAAATTCAACTAAAGATTAGAAAAACTCTGAATGTCTCAAAACGAAGAACTTGAAAAACAGATGATAAATAAATTCATACAGTGGCAATCAATAAACTAAAACATCACAAAAATGTAAGTTTGAGTAACAAAATCAAGTTGCAGTAGCTATATTCAGTATACCATTTCTACAAATTAAGAAAATAAATACTGCTATATTTTCATGGATATAAACACATAAAGTAAATACACATATGGCATTCTAGATGGATATTATTTCTTATATCTACAAATAGAAAATGAGGTTGGGCAGGCAGGGTGATAGCTACAGTTGCTTTCGTAATTATTCTCTGTAAAGTTAAAATGATCTCACTCATAAACTTAAGAGCTGGTGGAAACTCAGCATTTTTTTCTCTCTTTTTCCCTCCCCTATTTAGTAATCACAAAAATTTGGAGGTGTTGTCACTCTGTTCCTGAGTCCCTCGGTGAGTAGAACATAGAGAAAAATTCCTAACTGATTTTGTAGTGGAAGATTTGAGATAAATAACCTTCAGGAAAAGAAACATTTAACTGTTTTAAGGTACTAATATTGAAGTGGTTTCACTGTTACAGGATAACCTAGCATAACCTGACTGATATTAGAATTCCTGCCACGAATCCTAAGATGTGTGATATAGCCTTAGGAATCATTTGGTGAGTGGCAAAGCAACCGTTATTAAAGCCGAAAGTGTGGTAATACATCTTCTGCATATTTGATAAGACTTTCACCAGCAAAAAATACGAAAGGTAATAACATTCCTAATAAACTTGTAGTTCCAAGAGAAGGACTGCCAGATGTAGCAAATAAAATTGCAAGGCATTCAGTTAAATTTGAATTTCAGATATACAACAGATATTATTTAGTAAAATTTCTATGATATCATACCAAATGATTACACATATTTGTACTAAAGAAAAACATTAACTGAAATTCAAATTTAACTGGTTTTCTATGTTTTATCTGGCAATCCCATCAAGAGGGGGATGTTGCAAAATAGAAAAGTAGCAATATTTCTTGGTTACTATAAAAGTTATTTGAAAGATTTTGTAAGGGAACATGAAATCAGAGAAGAAGGGGGCAAAATACTAGTCATTTAAAAACGAGGTGGGTAAATTTGGAAGTAGAGGTGACCAGGTTTCACAGAATGTAGGGTGAGAGGAGTGCAGAGGAAGATAATATAACATCAAGGTTTATGGCTTAAAAGATGGAAAGATGGAATATTTATCATTTGAAACAGAGAAACAGGACACTTTTATAATTTGAGATGCTTATTAGCACCCACTTGAGATACCAAGTAGATAAGTGAATATCTAAGTCTTTGGGTTCAGGAGAAAGATTCAAACTGAAGACATAAATGTGGACATTGACAGCACAGAGATGACAGTATACTAAGTTTATAAAGATAAAATAATAATGAAAGCTCCTATTAACCTCTTAGATATGAGTCTTTGATGTAAATATTTTATGTGTTAACTCATTGAATACCCACAATAGGTCAATGTAATTGGTTCTACTATAAATATACTCTTTAAAAATGGATATTTTATTAAAAGGAAGGACTCAATTTGTACTCATCCTGAATCTGTAGCCATTGGTATCATTTCTAAGATAATTATTAGTAATAACCTAGTCAGTGAACCTTGCCATAGTCCTTAGTGATGTAAATTTATTATATTTGTTGAAATTTCTTTTCATTACCCATAATGCTTTAATAACATACTTTTAAAATTCTGACTTTAACACCTATACATTGTAGTGAACATTTAAAGAACTTCCTCCAAGTTTAGAATACAGAAATTCACAAATTATCTCTACTCCCTTATATTTTACTATTAAGATGATACTAAATTAGCAGCCCAAGAGATCATGGTCCTGAAAGTAGAGAGAAAAAAATAGAACCCAGTGACCCAACATAACTAAGGAGCATATTTCATTTAAGACATTATCATCCTTGGGACTTCTGAAGAAGCACCCTGGGATAGAAGGTAGTTGAGATCATTTGTCAGCTACAGCACTCAATTTTGGTCATGAATGTCAAAGTGATTCCATCTATATGAGGAGCTTGTGGAGAACGGCAACATGCTATATGTATACATTTCAGAATGGATTAATTGGCATCTGTGTAACTTTTCTCAGGTTATTCTATTTATTCAGCATGCTCCAAGATCTCTTTTGTACTTTACAAATTTGCACTTCAATTCTTCTTAGTTTGAGACTCACTTCAACATACCAAATTTAGTTTGCCGAACTTGTTATTTCTAAAAAATTATACATCATAATATTATACAGTATAAATCTAGAATTATACATCTATGCATTATAGTCACAGAAATAGGACTTGCCTTTAAGCCCCCCTTTTTACATATTTTCCTATTATTGTCTGATTGCTAAGTAATATTACTAGATGGCAAAATAAAAAATAACACTGATATTAATGAAAAAATCAATATTAAATATTAGCTTAACACAAAAAAGCAAATATTGAAATAGATAGATGGGCATGTTAGGCTGGGCAGCTTTTTGTGGACACAATCGTATAATTTCAATTTCAAATTCCATAATATAACAATATATTCTATTGGTACAGCATCTCCTTGTTTATATTAAGAAATTATGTATATTGATATTCACAGAACCACAACTTTTAAATGTATTTGAAATTAATTATTTTAGGTGTCTTTCAACTCTCCCAATAGTGCACAAATACGTAGTCATGCTATATGTTAATAAGTAAATAACTCTGGAAACTCACAACTTCAAAAAAATGTTTGCATTTATGTCAAGTTTTCACAGCAGAGAAGGGAATGTGAACAGTATCAGTCTAAAGCTATGTTACTTTGTAACAACTCTACTCATTTGCCATCTAAATATGATAGAAGATGGTGTTCATTCCTAACAAGTATTTCCAGATATCATACATTCCTTAAAGGGGATGATACTGATTGCCCTCTCAATTTCCACTCGCTTTCCCATTACAATTAGCAGCAGTTTCTTTTAATTATCCCTGTCCTTCTTAGAGCAGTCTCAGATATACAAAAATTAATTACCTGGAACTCACATCTTTATAATTTTAACCTTTTCATGCTTCACTTGTTTACAGTGACATTTATTTAAAACACTTATCAGTTGACTGCGCATGGTAGGCATCTAGTTTATCAGAAAAGGCAGGAGAAAAAATAAATGTAAGACATTAAGCTTGCTATGGTGTTCTGAGACTTTCCTAGAAATCCTTAGCTCATCAAATCTTGTTTTGGCATGGCAGAAAGACATATCCCATTAAAATGATATTAATGCAAGTACACTGTTGTCTTAAACGATCATATCACACATTACATATCCCATTAAAATGATATTAATGCAAGAACACTGTTGTCTTAAATGATCATATCACACATTACACATTTATGCTGAAAATAGGTTCAAACTTTTTACTCCTTTATCTTTTATTTATTATAAGACACTTTGAAGATTATACTCAGATAATTTAAAATAATAAAATCAATGTCACTTACAAGGTCACAGGATTTGTTAAAACCCTGCTACCCATTTCCTTTTGGTAACTTTGCATTTCAGAAATGAAGACTGCCTATTCCTGTGGCTTCTATGATTTGGTTAAAAAATAATTAGCAAAATTTATAAGTTTTTTTTTTTTTAACTTCTAT